CCCCCGTTCCTCGGAATCTCAGGCCCCCCTCCATTTCTGTTTCTCCACGCCAACTGCACGGATGGGCCTGGGCAAATGGCTGCCATCCCTGCCTTTTGCACAGCGCCGCTTCCGATGCGCTCCTAGATCCAAACCCTGGATGGAGCCTCCTGCCCGGGGCCAGCTGGCGGGTTGCGCGCTTTGTAGTTGCTTTGGGCATCGGTGGCTGGACTGGCAGGACCCTCAGAAGGAGCGTTCCTGCTCTGGAAAAGTTTTCCTTCTGTATGAGCCTGTTGTGGTTTTAAAGAACCTTTCCTGGGGAGCTGTTTTCCGTTTCCTTTTTAGTTTAATTTCCTCTCCCCCGCCCCTGTTTTTCTTTTCCTGACCCGCGCTTCCGTTCAGTTCGTTCGCTCGCTCGCTGTTCGGTGTGGCCCCGAGATTTCCTCTGACATTCACCATCTTGCTCTCTCTCTCCCACCCCCGATCTTTCGATTTCCCTCTGGTCATAGAGAGCAGGGCTGAGGGAGGGCTCGGAGGACAAGGTCAAGCCAGCACGTCCCAGGGCCCCCGAGAGTGACACGGGCGACGAGGACCTGGATCAGGAGAGGGATGCGGTGTTCCTGAAGGACAACCACCTGGCCATTGAGCGCAAGTGCTCCAGCATCACCGTCAGCTCCACGTCCAGCCTGGAGGCCGAGGTGGACTTCACCGTCATCGGGGACTACCACGGCAGCGCCTTCGAAGACTTCTCGCGTAGCCTGCCAGAGCTCGACCGCGACAAGAGCGACTCGGACACGGAGGGCCTGGTGTTCTCTCGAGACCTCAGCAAGGGGCTCCCCAGCCACGAGGACGAGTCCGGGGACGTGGAGGACAGCCCCGACCGAGGGGCCTGCGCCACCCCGGAGATGCCGCAGTTTGAGGTACCCAGGCCCAGCCCGCGGGTCTCCTCCCAACACTGCATGTTCGAGGGCCCTGGGCCGTGTGTGAGAAGACTGACAGCCGCCTGCAGCCCAGAGCCCCGCCTCCGAAGCCTGGTCTCGCGGTGCATGACTGCCCTTCCGCAGAACAGCATGGTTCTGCCCGTATTAGCATGTTTGCCGTGTCCCTGTAACCGCAGCGCACACGCCTTGGCTTTGTAACCCATGGGATCCCATCGCTTGGCGTTGGGGGGTGGGTGGGTGGGTGTCCGGCACTTGGTGGGAGGGGTGGGAGGCCGGCTGGTCTGACATTCCCCCACACACACACACACAGAGCATGTGCTTGTAGACCATCAGGATCTCCTGTGACCGGGGTCTGAAAGTTGGGATCCAGGCCTAGGCTTCTCTCCGCAGGGTTTGGGCTTCCTGGGGAAGGAACAGCAGTTTTCATCTGCTCCCGGGATCTCTAGGTGGTAGAGAAGAGGAAACAGCTCATCGAGGGGCCCCGGGATATAGACGGGGTCTCTCTGCGCTATGTCCCTCCACAGTGCTGCAAAGGAATCTTTCTAAGCCATGTCTTGCTGTCTGCCATTCATTTGCTCACAGATGGTTTCAGCCCCAGCCTTCCTTTCACCCCCCCCTCTCCCTCCGCCATGTGTCAGTCTCTGAGATGAGAGCTAGCCCATCTTGGGCTCTCACTACATGCTCTACCCTCTGGGCGGAAGGCTTTTCCCCTAGTGGGATCACTAGGATCGTTGTCACCCTATGTCACCTCATGGTGTCATCTCCAGCCCCACACATGGACCTCCTCCCATAAACAGCATACAGAACCTTTAGTAATGTTTGTTATCAATGTGAACCATGAACTACAGGGATAAATTGCTTAAATGTAATGCTTCTTAGATTATATGAACACAAACCACAGAGTTGTTTTGTAATCTCTTTCTACCTTGATTTGCATTATTGGTTATAACGTCATCAGTAACCGGGCAGAGGCCTCTTTTGATCAGCCTCCTGTTCCTTCAATGACTACATTCTCAAACAAAGTGATTGACACAGGTGCACAAATATGAGGGCACCTCCAAAAGTGCATGGACAATTACGTTTAGTTCCATTCATCCACAGACTCTTTGAGGCCCCTTGTACTACTTATCACACTACAGCTAAAAATATCAAATGATTTGACAAAATCCACAACTGTGGAAACACCTGCAGCAACACAAAAACAACAATGCAGACTTGTCGAGCGTGTAGATAAAACCACATGACTGGAAGCATGGCTGTAATTGGGTAATAATGACTGCTCTGACAGGCGCTCACTAGACTATTCAAAAAATAAACGAGCGTTTATTTTAGTTTTAGCCTTATAACTATATTCATGTGAGCTGGACTTACGAAAAATGTTTGTGTGGCTATAACGGCAGGGATATTCCTATTTGAAAAAAATAAATCAATCTCTGCTGAGATAATGCCCCCAATCTTACAGACTGTTGGTGTCACCCCCTCTGAGGGTGTCCGTACAGGGACATCACTTTTTCTCCTTGCCAATATGTCATGCCAGGTCCTAAGACACAATGCCGATGTCAGTTCTATGGCACAAACTTCCTGCCCACCCCGGGCAGAGGTTTTCCTTCCTTCGCTGCCCTCTCCCTCTTTAAGGCCTCAGCTCTGCCACTATCCAAAGCAGTCAGCTTATCAGCTGATTGGTCTGCTCTGCCACCAGGGACTGTAGGGACCACACCTGGCCTGAGACTTAGGCTCACTGCCCCCTAAGGTTCCTATCTAATCCACCATCATTTGATCCCAAATCAGTAGCCCTTAAAAGAACACACTGCCCAAGGCAGATACGAGCTCCAGATTTTTTATTTTTATTTTTTTGGTATCATTAAAGAACTAGAAGATCTGACCTCTCAGAGCCTGCATTCCTGAACAGCATCAGCTGGTCCATTCTGAGCGAGACCAGTCATGCTCCTCCTTCATCCTGGCCCTCAGCAAGACTACCTCAGTCTTTGACCTCTTCTGCCTGGCCCCTCAAAGCATCCACGTGTGCCGCTCCCCCTCTGAAGAACAATCCCAATGCAGATGAAGCAATGAAGAAGTGGTGGCGTAGTCGTTGAAGTCCTGCAGCCTTCAGTGACACTGGTGGGGGTCTGGCCCAGAATAGAAGAATTGAATGCTTGAATACCAGAAATGCTGTTTTGATGGTGGTCTTAAAACAAGAAACCAGCATAGAACCCCCATGAGGTTGTATATTGTGAGGTCACAGGTCAGGTTGGGTGCTGGTGGCATTCTGATGGTCCCGTCGAGTTGTTAGTGAAACCAAACCATGCCTCCCTGGCCTTGATTCACATACGCTTTCGGAGACTGTACTGATGGAGACAACCAACTGATCCTACACCAAATTTGCTAATAAGCAGGAGTCATACCAGAGCTCAAGTTATGAAATGTGACCCCCTCATCTCCCTACAGCCAGTGAAAACAGAAACCATGACCGTCAGCAGCCTGGCCATCAGGAAGAAAATTGAACCGGAAGCCGTACTGCAGACAAGAGTCACCAGTGTGGACACCGCCCAGGTAATCTAGGAGTCCCCATGTCCCCGGAGCACAAGTATTGGCTGTTTGGGGTCCCCACTGTGTGGCCAACCTTTCCCACCTGTCTCTTCTGGAGCCCCCATCTTCCCCCTGATCCGCTTCTGAGCCTCAGTGGCTTTCCAGAACTCTCAGAGGGCCCTGGCTTCTTGGCCTGAGCAGACCACAACCTCTCTCAACCTGAATTTCCTCATCTGGGAAATGAGGGTGAGCAGTGCCCCCCTTTCTCCTGGGGCATTGTGAGATCTAGTAGGTTAAAGTAGCAGTTTTCAGATTGCTTAAACTAGGATCTCAAAGGCTTCTTTGGGAGGGAAGGGGGAGCAGTTCCCATCCAGCTCTAGTCAGAACAACTCATCACCCGAGGCACTGCACCTGGCTAGGGCTCCACATCAGATCGGCGCCCAAACGAACCAAAAGCCAGAGAGCAGAAGCAGCACAATGTAGCACCCTGGAGAAAGCCGCCCTGAAGGGGCACCGGTGCAGCACTTACAGCGCACTGCCTAAGTGCCTCCGATGACTGAACTTGGGAAATTAGGACTGGGGGTCTTCCTGGCCACAACAACCCTGGTGCTGCTGGCTTTCTGTACCATTTACTCTCTTAAATTTACTCTCTTGTAAGTTATGTGAAGGTTTACAGAGCAGATCATCAGTTTTAAATTCCAAGTTCATACACATTGGGGTTCAGCTCGTCACAACTTCTCTCTGTTCCATCCCACTTGCCCCACTTCATCCCTGTGTCCGTGCTTCCATTCCTCCTTCCCCAACCCGCCATACTTTAATCCCGGGTGAATGCTGCCTTTCCTCCTCCTCCTCCTTTTTTAATCGCAAGATCATTTTATTGCAGCCTCTTACAGCTCTTAGAGCAATCCATCCTAGGTATCAAGCATATTTGTATATATGTTACCATCACCATTTTTTTTTACTGGTTTTTTTAAAATCATTTTGTTGGGGGCTCGTATAACTCTTATCACAATCCATCCGTCTGTCCATTGTGTCAAGCACATTTGTACATTTGTTGCCATCATCATTCTCAAAACATTTGCTTTCTACTTGAGCCCTTGGTATCAGCTCCTCAT